GGCGAGAACACAAAGATGGTGTATTTGCACGATACAGGAAAATGGGAAGAGTTCGGTCGTGTCAGCCCAAAGACATCATGGAAATTTAATGTGTAAGTACATAACAGAATTTGAATTGATATCAAGATATCAAATGAGAATTATGGTCGCTCGACCGTCACTTACACATGGCAAGTGGTGGTTGGTGGTGGTGGTGGTGGTGGTGTGTGTGTGTGTGTGTGTGTGGGGGGGGGGGGTAACCGTTCAGGAGGAAGGCACGGTGGAGGGGAAGTAACACGTGGATGATACATGCGTATTAAAGATTGAATACCGACTGACTAGGGCCTCAGTCCGCGACTCATTATTTCACTGACTTATTCAAAAGTATACATTAACTTAGCCAAGTGGACAGGTCACCCTCCACCACCCCTTTCTGCGCATCCAAACACAATATAGAGGTGCAAATGTCACAGGCACGTTTTTTTTAATATTTAGTGCACAGATTACCGGTACAAACCATGTTTGATAATAGTAAATTTCTCTCTGTTACAAACTGTCTTGATGGTCAACTAATTAGACATGAAAATTGGTGGACTGGTGGGCCGACGTCATGCAGCCTCGCAGACTTCTGCAATGCTGTCCGCAATAATGTGGAGATGCCATGCATAAACCGAGTCACGACAATGATAAAGGCAATATTTCAGATACTAAATGAATGAATGGCTGAATGAATAAATAAAAAAAGATTACATTAAATCTTTTCAGTTAGCTATAACAAAAATTTGCTGATTTTGTGGCATTCCTCTGTTGCTTCTGTCTCAACCCCCCCCCCCCCCAAAAAAAAAAATGTTGCTCGTTTAAAAACAGTGAACGTAATAACAGGTTGCTCAGGCTTGCACCCTTCGGTTAATAACATATGTGCCGTATAATACTGTTCAATGTCCTTCCAATGCGGACATAGACGTCAAAAAAAGTGCTTGATATTTCATTTTTAAATGCCAGACTGATATAAATCCTTCTTAATTCTATTTAATATTGAATCCATGTGCAGGGACGGGCCAAGCAGTGATTCATTGGTAGGAGCAAATATTTTTTTTTCTCTAAGAAAAATGATATTTCAATATCACAACAAGGCAGCAAAGCTGTCAAATGTACAGACAGAAAACAGAAAATAAAGATGCAAAATAGGTCATATTGTCAATTTTGATGCAATAATAAATAATGCTTATAATAGCACTGTCAGTCAACACTGAATTTTAATCATGCACAACAGGTAACATGGTCAATAACAGGAGCAAACCCAGAGATATTTTCTGACAGCATTCCAAAGTATCTATGTACATCCATCCTCCATTTTGATGGTCTTCCAACAGAAAAAAATAGATACCAGTCAATATAAACTTAATAACCTGACCGTCTTCCGGAAGACCCAGAAGATGGTCTCAATCCACCCCTTCAATAAGATTACAGCTTGAGGACCATGAGAGACCAAAGTCACATGATGAAAGTCTCAATATTTGAAAAATGAAGATAGTGCATAAAATAATATTATATAATGTTTAAAGACATAAAAAACAATACAATTGCTTATGTGGAAATACAGAAAATATGCAGAGCCTCGAGCGGATGAGAGTTGAAAAGTCACAAATGCAAGTATTTGAGAAAAAATTGTAAAGGAAAACATAAAAAAACTAGAAAACCACCGAGAGTGCAGACCTCTGCCAAGGCAGCAATTGTTGATTATTATTGATTATTGATTAATTATGAGCCAGACCACCACTAAAAACTAATCATTATCTTCTTTGGCCCAATTCTGACAGTTCCTGAAAATTTCAGCAAAATCGGTCCATAACTTTTTGAGTTATGTTGATGACAGACAAACAGGGGTGAAAATATAACCTCCTTGGCAGAGCCTGAGGTAAATATAATTCCAATGAAGCTGCTATTCAAACTTTTAATCTTCCATTATATATAAATATATATATATATATATATATATATATATATATATATATATAATAACCTGCATAATTATCACTGCTTCCTTATTATTAATCTAGCAGAGAGCTTAACTTTTGGGAGTTTACAAGGAAATATCAACAAGTGTGCTTTATGTAATTTCATTTAATGGCCTATCAATTAGGCAAATGACTTTATAACTCAGAAATTAGCTAAGTGATACCCAAGGGATATTAACAGACTGACCCTCTCAAAGGTCTTTCAGGCCCATAAGTCACATCTTAAGAAAAGCACAAAACAATAATGCACAAAATAGGAGACTACCAATTCTGATGCAATAATACATTATGTTTTACTGCACAGTCAACATCAAATTTTAATTATGCACAACAGGTAACACCGACGAAAGTAAAAGCATAAGGCTTCAGGCCCATCAGAGTTCAAGTTTATACTTAGAAAGTGTCAGAATGAGAAAAATGAAAATTTCACACAAAATTGCATAAATTCAATAATAAAAGAATTGACCTGGCTTTCTAATTTGAACTGCATGCCAATCCTAAAAATCATACTTGTATGTTAAAAATAATAATAAGTAACACAGTTTTCTTTTTATAATATTTGCAGTAGCAGTGCAAAAAGATTTTTGTCAATTTTGATGTAACATTACATAATAAATTATAGAATAATTATCACCAATTTTTTATTATTGACTATAAATAGCAAGGACATGTACAAAATTTGATTACCATTCGGCTTTATGTCCATGGGAGTTCCGAGTCCCACAATGAATATGCCAAAAAGATAATAATGAATATTTCACTAAAACTTCCAGAAAAAGAAGTCAATTAGACTGCTTTTCCAACTCATGCTGCATTTTAGTCCTGTGTTTCTTTTTTGAAAGTTTGACAGTCATAAGTAACATGGTTTTCCCATAATGGTCATCATGGCAGCAGCACCAAAAATTGTTTTCTTCTATTTTGATGCAACATTACATAATGGTTAACAGCATAATGACCATCAATTTTTAATAATAAAATGTATAATGGATATTCAGAAAATGTGACTAGCATGGGTCTTCACAAAAATTTTCACAAAAAACTGTTTAATTGTTAGAAAAATTTACCAAACAGACTGCATTGCCTATTGAAGCTATATTTTAGTCCCATGTTTCTTTCCTGTAAGTTTGAGAACAGTAAGTGACGTGATTTTCCTTAAATGGTCATCATGGGAGCAGTGCCCAAAATAGGTGTTTCTTCAAATTTTGATGCAATATTACATAATGTTTAACAGCATAATGACCATCAATTTTTAATAATAAAATATTAGTATCATGGATATTCAGAAAATGTGACTAGCAAAGGTCTTCAGGACCATGGAACTTCAAAGTCACATCTTGAAAATGCCAAAATGCAAACAAGACAGCACTGTTCTGAAATGGGTTTATTTCCATTTTTAACACTTTTTAACATAAAACAAAATTAATAGTTTACTGCCATTTTTATATGACCAACTAAGAAAATTGATGAGATGGGAAAAATATCAATAGAACAGTGTTAAATGTCCAATTTCCTCCATTTTGAGATTCTGAACATAGTGGATGATTGAATCTGACAAACTGCAATGATATGTTTATTTTCATTTTTGACACATTACACAATATACAATATTAAGTTTACCATCATTTTTACATAATCAACTGACAATGTTGTAAAGATGCAGGAAATGTCAAACAAACACTTTTACGTATCTTATTAGTTCAATAATGAGACTATTAACATGCCTAAGAATTGAATCTGAGGAAATGTGAAAAAAAAAAGCATAACTTCTAAAATAATAGCCTGATTTTGCTGATTTTCAAACTCAACCTGTGTTTTAGTAAGATTGACCACTCCTGTGAGTACAATGACAATTGGCCTATCTGTTTTTCTTATATTGTGTTATCAGTGTTGCATATATGCTGAAAAAAATGAAAAAACAGCATAACTTCCATAAAAGTGGCTCGATCATGCTGATTTTCAAACTTGACCTGCATAATATGAATATTCAGCAGTTCTATAAGTTTCAAGCCAAAAAGTAAAGCAGTTTTTCATTTATTGTGTTATCAGGGTTGCATATATGCTGAAAAAAGTGAAAAAATAGCATAACTTCCATAAAAATGACCCGATCACGCTGATTTTCGAACTTGACCTGATCATTATGAATACTCATCAGTTCTGTAAGTTTCAAGCCAAAACGTAAAACCGTTTTCCACTTATCGTGTTTACGGTAAAAGTGCACGGCAACGGCAACGGCAACAGCAACGGCGACGACAGACGCAGGTGACGGCTATATGTACAGACACATCTGTGTCTGTACATAAAAATTAAGTGCAGAATACCTTTGATTTTTACTTTTTTATTTTCCATTTGGTACGGGTAGACCTTAATTATACTGGTTTAGACTTGGATTCTCGACTTGGTTATATTAGTTATCTGCTGCTTTTGAATTTACATAATAATAAAATGATAACAATTTTATTTAACCACAGCAACCAAAATGTTGAAGTTGTACATAGACTGGATAACAAAATATACAAATTAAAATATTTACATAAAATAAACGATATACAATAAGACCAAAATGAGCTTGAAAATAAATAAAGCACAGACCTCTTAAAAGTTTGATGAAGGGAGTAAAAATAGAAGACAAAGACAAGTTCGAAATTAAAACCCTGACCACAGAAAGTTTAATTAGGCAAAGGGATAAAGTTGTTTTTAGAATGTAAGGTTCTAAATTTTTGGTACACTAAATTTTGACTAGTTATGCCTTAGTTTTCTGTGTTTTGCATGTCATAGGTAATTCAGCTTGTCTCTGTTGCTTTGTATTTTTGCAAAGAATAATTTGCACGTTTCATGTGCCGCTCTTTTAAAGTAACGAGCTTTGTTTTGATTAGGGCATTAACTTATGGGAGCTCAGGGGATATAATTCTATGTGCTCTGGACTGGATAGATTCTATTGTTTTGCACTGCACACCAGGTAATCCAGGTGCCACACAGGACAAGAATATTCAACAACAGACCTGATTAAACTGCATAATACATGAACAAGTTTATTTTCATTTTAAAACCATTTCAGATTTCATTTATAAAATTGTTTACAGCTGAACTCAAGATGGGGATGGGGGGGAAGGTAGCGATGTTGCAGTGTGAAAATGTAAAGATTGTGAAATAAAAGATAATATTGCCTCTCTTAACACATGCCGCCCTTCCACCCACCCATATGCCTGGAGTATATATTATGTTTTCCTAGCTTTAAGTATTGACTATCATATAGAGCGCAATCAGAACAAAGTGATCTGCTGATTAAATATGGCCCACCGACTTAAAGGAATGCCTCTAATCTCCCCACATCTCCCCATGGGGGCTGGCAAGTAAACTTTGGAGCAAAGATTTAATTTGTTAAATGGGCCATGTTGAGGGCAGGAGATCATTAGGGAATTTAGCGGCTTGCTTTTAAGCGGGGTCAGCCATGTTTAGTCAGCAGAACAGGTAGTCTGCGGCTTATCTGTTCTGCATGTACTCAAAGACACTAAATGCCATTATTATTATTAAGAAATTCAACTAAGTGCCATAAGATACAAAATAATTTGCTAAAATTAAGCTGAATTTCTGAAATCAAGTTTGTTGGTTTAAAAGTCAACATAATATTTTCAACTGAACTATACATATTTGTAATACTTGAAAAGCTTTAATTTCTTGTTAAACATTCTATTGTGTTGCTGTTACAGCAGAAAATGAGTGATAACAAGGTTCCATATTTAACTTCACCATCATTCCTTATTATGGTGCTTTTTCTCATGGGCTTTGCGGCTGACATTGTGGTTAAATGCCTCATCACAAAAGCTGCACTTGTATGGTTTCTCCCCTGTGTGCACTCTCTCATGACAAGAACGACCTATTGCCTGTATAAAAGTTTTGTCACAGTACCTGCACTGGTAAGGTTTCTCACCTGTATGCACTCTCTCATGATTTATAAGATGATTTTTTACGTGGAACATTTTACTACAAAACTGACATTGGAATTCTTTAGCACCTAAATGTTTCTTTTCATGCAGATTTCTAGCATTTGCATTGAAAAACCTTCTATCACAAAATTGACAAGCAAATCGTTCTTTTTTTTTAGGCTTGCTATGCTCTTTCTCATGTCTAGAACAATATTGGGCAGTTTTAAAAGTTTTGGAGCAATACTGACATAAATAATTTTTCTCGGACGTGTGAAGCATTTCATGGTTTGAGCACCTATGCTTATTGGCAAAGCCCTTACTACAATACTGGCATTTATATGGTCCATCTCTTCTGACACTGTGAACTCTTTTGTGACCAATCAAACTTTTCTTGCTTGAAAATAACTGATTACAAATATGACATTGAAAGTCTTTTACTTTAACAGTCTGATGACTTGAACAGCCTTTATCATCATCATAATCGTTATTATCATCACCATCATCATCTGATAGCAAACTTGCATCACTGGGAACATAAGTATCATCATCCTGATCACCACCGTCATCATCCTCATCAGAAGAAAGCATCTCCTCATCCCATGAAAAGGACTGAGGGGCGTTTGTGACAACGTCTTCACTGTCATCCACATTCAGTGTAACTCCATACTCTTTCAGCAAAGCATCTTGAAAACTGGTGTCAATTTCTACATTATATTTATCATTAACAAACATCTGGTGATCTATGTTAATTTTTTCCACCTTCACAATGGCTTCTTTCAGTTTCCATGGACCTCCAGTAGGAACAACAGCTTTCACCTTGGGTTTAGTGTGTTTACACTGCAAACCCTTCTGTCTTTTTTTTGGTTTAATGCTGGTTTGAAGCAATTCCTGCTCTCCCCTGCTACTGCTAGTGAGTAAAACTGCATCCCCTTTGCCACCATCCTGTGAAGTTATCTGTGTGGTTGCACTACATTTAGCACTGGAACTGGCTGGCATCAATGTCTCCTGCCCCCTGCTTACAATAAATATAAGGTCTTTGCCAATGTACTGTGACAGTGGAGTTAGCAGTGTGATGGGAAAATATTTGAAACTGGGTTGCATTGATCCCTGCTGCCCTCCATTGACAAACATATCACCTTTGCCAAAATAATGCGATGTCTTTTGTGTGTTGGGAACCCATGTGGAAGTATTTATTATTGATTTCATCTGCCCTTTACAAAAATGAATGTTCTTTTTACTGGTGCTCTCAAGTGGAAAATGCTGTTCACCAGCTTTAGTACTGGCTTGTGTTGATTCATGTTGCCCCTCAGTGAACAATGGATCAGCTTAAAACAAGAAAGAAAAAAAAAGAGATATACACTTGTTATCAATCTGAATTCCCTTCAGTTCAGTGCTACCATACTGTAATTAACAAACTTATTAATTGTTTAAAAAACTTATTAAATTCAATGGTAAATCAATTTCAATACCAGATCCTTACTTTCCATGTTAGAAGGAAGGCCAGGGTCAGTGGCTGTGTCTGCTCCCATGTCACAGGGTTCTGTTTTCAAACACAAGCCTCTCTGGTCAGCAGAGGGGTCACCCTGAATACTTGATGATGGCAAGTCACCGACTTCTGGAAACAAATGTACACAAAATTAACCTTGTGATTAATATTGCAAAAAGTTTTCTATACTGTGTGCACTCTTTAGAAACTGATGCAGGTTAAGTTGAACATATCACTTGTTAATTGATAATTGATGTAGCTGAACCAACTTTAAAACAAAACAATTATAGTAATTATGATACAAAACATAAAAAAATTACAATTATGTCTTTCATTCAGGAATTTGATATTAATAGACTAAAAGGTGATTTGACATTCCTGCAGTTTTGTAGGCTTGGATTTTAGCCTGGTACTATTTCCCTGTGCAGAACATAACAAACACATGCTTAAACCTATTTTCAACCGGGTTTTGTCAACTGTGAAAAATAAAACCCCTTCCAATGGGCAGTCATATAAGCACATAGTTGCATCTAGACCAGTAGTATATACCATAGTTGGGTGTCACATGCCACAGAGATTGTGCTTCGTGCTTCTCTATAGAAGTGTTCATTGCATACACACAAGGCATTATTGCAATTTTTAATTCAGCACAAAACAGGTCTAACAGGGACATATCCAGCAAAATTTTAGTCTTAAGAGGCTTGCTGGGGTCTCAAAGAGGCCATTCAGAATAGAAGAAAGGAAGACCGCTTAATCCTGTCATGGTCTCTCGGCCTCTTACACACTTTCCCATGCGCTGTCCCTGCAGTGGCATAGTAATTAAATCTTAGCTCCATTTGACCAGACACGTAGGAAGGCATGTCAGAGACAGAGAGATCATTACAGAATTTAGCTGTCTTCCTTTCATGTAGGATCCACCATATTTGAACCTTGGGGGCAGTTTTACAGATACCTTTTAGGTCATAATACCTTATAATTAGAACTTTCCTAATGTGAAGTAGCAATAAAATTAAAAAGCAGGCCACTCTATAGTTAAGTACTGCTCTATGCAATTAAAGCACCACAAATCAATTATACTAGTAGAAACATAATTTTGTGATAATAAAGTTATGTATGGGAAAATTTGAAAAATATTGCACATTGAAAAGATTGCATCATTACCGTATGTTGACCTGCCCTGTTTAAACCAAGGGTGCCTTCCCAGAGATTTAGATCGATCCAGAGATTAAGATTTAGATCGACCCAACTCCCTGGGGGTTCACACTAAATTGCAGTCAGCCGAGCGCGCACCATAGTTAATTACCTCTTTACAGCTTTTAGTAGGCGGGACAGGCGCTTAAGCCAGCTAAGCTGACAGTAATCTAGTGAGACTCCCCACAGGGATAGATAGATCTATGGTAATGGGGTTCAAGATTCCAACTCTTACCATGCCAAACACCGTCACTTCTCTGCTTCACTTCCACTTCAGGGTCTGCTTTGATCACTGGTGCCTAATAAGAGAATAATAAAAAAATATGAAGTTATTTCTTTAGCTGCAGAATGCACTACAATTATACAGATGCATTCAACTGATAAGACATACAGGGTCCAGACTGGGCCCAGATGAGGCTAAGACAGGGTTCGCCGCACCATTAAGGCCTAGATTATCATCAAGAACTAGAAAGTGAGCTGTTCATCTGCAGCCCAGCAATTACTTTACACTGTATTGGGGCAATTGTTTGGAATGAATGAACAAATGAATGAATTAATGAATGAATACCCTGTCCTCAGGGATGCTGTTTAATAAAAACAAATTACTGTCTTATTTTACCTTGGTCACCTCCTTCTCCTGGTACATGGCCCAAATACTGGTGCTAGGTACAGGTTTCCCCTCCAGAAGATCATACAACTCCTAGAGTAGCCGTACAGAAAAGTGGTTCAGTCAAAATGATTAAAATTTGAAATTTGAAATTTAAAAATTTTATTACTCACACTCAATGGAAATGTTCTTGTTTCAAGAAATTATGACCCAAGAAAAGAAAACAGTATCAAATACTGTGAAATTCACAATTTTCCTGATTGAAAGGATTGAGGCATACCAACTCAGCCACCACCTACCTTTCTGTGTCGCCTTTTCTCTTCACTCTCTTCACTTCCATCTCCACTCTTCTCAGTCTTGGGTACAGCAATGGTGGGCACTGCATCTGGCTTCAGTTTCCCACTATGCCCACCTCCCCTAAAATCTGCGTTTGAACTTCCCTCAAAGCAGTGGCCCTCGAAGTGATCTGAGCACACCACTTGTTGCTTGTTAAATCGAAAAGCTCCAATGTCATGATTAATGCCCATATTTTTCAACCAAGCTTCTGCCCTTTCTTTTTCCTTTGGGTTAATTTTTGGATTAGGTATTGTGTAATATGCCACATCACTGTTTTCAGTGGTGTTCTTACACCCATATGCCATGCAGTGTCTCATCTTGTCCATCTGCTGAAAAAGAGACACACCAAAATCAACAATCTCAAAAAATATAATTAGTATAATAGCAATATATTGCTTTAATTGTCTATAAAATTTAAGTCTATTCAGCTATTTTAAACATGATGCCTTTCCATAAGCAATATCCATTTTCAAAATTTTAAGAGTTTAAATGTTGCTATTTTGGGCATAGAATGTCAGACATTTCCAGTCATCTTCCTCACAATGTAAGGATGAAAAGAATTCAGAATCAACCACCTCCCAGGGGCAGCGCAACCCACTGTTGCACTTTAATTCCTTGCCTGATGACAGGTCTTCCAATCCCCAAAGTTTTAACTTCCTTACTAGTACTAGTCTTCTAGTGAGGAAGAGATGGTGGAAATTACTAATTATGCACAGATGCAGGGTCTCATGAAAGAATGGGCAGGACAGCATGATCCCAGAATTTCCACTGATGATGTAATGCCATGGTCACATGAATATTAAATGAACCAATTAAATTAGTTATATACGGTCCCCACTTTTTGGCATGTAACTCACGAAAAATGACTCTATGTCATTGCTGTTTGAATGCTGATTCAGGATCCCAGGGAGCTTTCCCAACTCTGTGAAGTGAAGTGTACTCTTCCCTGATAATTTTTATGTGTTTAATGTTACACTTTCCAAACTTAATGAATATGAAGCAAAATATGATGTATATTATAAATGGAGAGCGTGCACACAAGAGATGATTTCATGTCATTGCTGTTTAACTGCCCATTCATGATTGCAAAGTGCTTTCCCAACTCTTTGAAGTGTACTCTTTCCTAATGATTTTTGTATGTGTTTAATGTTACCTCTTGCATAATTTATGAATACAAAGCAAAATACATTTTGTATTATTCTTAGTGGAAAGCATGCTCACAAGATCGGTGCCATGTTGTTACCGAATATTATGGACGTGCAGTTATATATATATTTTGACATGTAACTGTTAAATGACGATTTTTCCAAAAAAATTTTTTGACAGACTTGTTCAATGGGGTGGTCCAAATGGCTAGTAAGCTGTAAAGTTTATGACACAGACTGCTATTTAACAAAATACCTCTGCTATCAACTGTTTTTGAGCTCTTGAGTTAAACCTCTCCTTTCTTTCGGCGGCCATTTCTTGGGCACTTTTTCCAGACACGAGTCTCGTTGGCAGTGCTCTGGCATTGACTGTCGCATTTTTATATTCCGAAAAGTCGAATATACTCGGGACAGCATCATCTCTGAGCTTTCTCCTCGTTTTTCCGTGCGAGCACAGTTCGGCTCGAAGGTTACGCACGAAACATTCAGGCTCGAAGTGGTCGCTACAAATTCTAGCATATTTATAGTTATCCACTGCGCTAGGATTTTTCAACTTCAAAGCATTGATCCAAATTTGTCGTTTTGCTGTCTCCACAGGGAGACTAAAAAAGTTGATGCCTTTCTTTTCGTTTCCTCGATTACGGCACCCAGGTGCCACACAAATATGCGGCATGCCGTTATATTTAAACACCTTAATGTTTGGTCAACTGTCCGTGTGTTATCATTACAATACGACAATCAAAAGTTCATGAGTCTCTTGCAATAGACGGTTTTGGCAGAGTACTCTGTGATTCTGGCAAGGGTAAACCTGGTAAATCTGGTAAACCGTGCTTCGGTGACCTTCTTCTCCATTTGGAAATTGCATTGTGGGTAAGAAATGCTTCCGCAGTAAATGCATGCCACGCCCACCGTCTATACATTCATAAAGACCATTTTCTGCATTATCTGTAATATTCAATCAAAAAAATTAATTAAGGGTATTTGATTGGAAAAATAGCTCTGATCGCGAGAAGGACAAAAACTTATGAATCCTGCAGAGGTAACAATTAAACCGTCCAAGACGAAGAGGAGCCCAACACATATCGATGAGAGATGAAGAAAACAATTACAAGTACATATATAAAACAAAGAAAATCGTTACCGTTTACATCAATTTTGGAAATCTTATTTATTTATGTTGTTTTCAAGCGTAAATCGAATCCCATTATAGAGCGCACCATAAACACCACGACAACATTGTCAACATTGATTACCTCATTTCCAGTGTGTGCCAAAATTTTTTTTAGACTACTAGCCCTTCGGGCAAGTTTGCAGGCTCTAAAACTTTACTAGCCCGAACCAAAAATCAATAGCCCAATATAAATAATTCATTTAAACAGTTTAAGCAAATGTTGCAAAGAGTTGTGGTATCAAACTTCCTTATAAACCTCTCATATAAAACTCCAAAAGGGATCAAAAGGTGACAACAATGAAATTTGCCTGCTTGAAAAGAATGCTAAGTTATAAAGAAAATAACTGAAAAAGATGCCCAAGATGCGTTAGGTACCGCCACCTAGGTGACACTAAAACTAGACAGCAGAGCTGACAAATATACAAACAACATACTAGTACAAGAAACAAGGCAGCAAAGCTGACAAATGTTCAGACATTCAGGCGCAGAAAAAAGTGCACCAAATAATGTTTTGGCCAATTTTAATGCACTGTTACATAATGCTACATAAAACAGCATAATTACTCTCACCCTCTTACGTGATGTGCTACAGGTAACATTGACATTAAAAAACTAGCAAGTAATTTGGTTTCCTCAATTATAAAAGCCGCTGGAAATGCTAATGTGCGAAATAAAATATTAAAAAAAAGAAAAAAAATTATTACCGTAAATGTCAACTGACCGTACCGACTTTCGAAAGCAACCTGCTTCTTTGCCAAACAAAGTCACTCTGTAAATTTAATGAAAAACAAAAATACGGTTTGGCAATTTTGGGGCGAGCGTCTCCAAAATTGTGCGAAAACAGAATAATTACCGTAAATGTGAATGGATCGAGCCGTTTTTTGAAGCAACCTGCTTATTTACCAAACAAAGCAACTCATTATGTTTAAAGTAAAACAACAATTCGGTTTGGTAGTTAAAGCGTGAGTCATGTGTCGGACAGCGACGGCGACGGCACGGGCAGACAGACAGATCAGAATGTGTCCGTAAATAAAAATTAATAATAGGCCCTATGTATGTAAATCCTTTCCCAAGACTTTACTGGCCATGGTTTAGAATAACTGGATGAAGGAAAAGGTTCATTTTGGTATCTGGATGATAATAAAGGCTTATAATACCTGACAGGTTTTCTTGCAATTCATTAAAATTGTTTTTATCAGGACAGTTATCCTGAAGATATCAGCCATTTTTGTTCCAACCAGGGAATTATATCGTACGATATAATTTAGTAAATAAATAAACCAGGGAATTATATCGTACGATATAATTCCCTGCTCCGACATTTTCTGGCTATTATTTCAATAGTCTGCAAGGTGCATGTATCACCTAAAAACTATTTTTGACCATTATGATTAGAGGGTTATGAGATAAAACTGAGATACCACGTTTTTCATCCCGAGTTTTAGAGGACACTGGAAACTTTACTCTCTTCTATCCACGTCTCTGTGGCATCCAATATACTGGTACAATGTATGTAGCGGAGAGGCGAGAAAATCAGGATGACGCTCTTCTATTGCCGCCGATCTTGGATTTTCAGTATCAACGCTAAATATATTAGAAATGAATGATTGCTATGGGTTAAATATAGTATTTAGTAAAATACATGCGTCAAAATTCTTGCTGCGACAAGAGAAATTTTGTTTTGATGTGGGGAACTCTATATGCCAGGTCGTTCCTGCAACACGCAGTCATATGGAACTAGGCCACAATGCCCGTTCGGTCTCATTTCAGTGTGGAGAATTAAATGCAAGTGATTGAAACATATTCACCGGTGGATCCAAGATTTTATTTATTTATTTATTTATTTATGTATTTATGTATTTATTTATTTACTAAGAGTGTGGGTAGGGGAGAGGTCGAAGGGTTTAAAGATAACTCGCTTTGCTCCGTGAACGTACATGTAAAGCAATAGATCATAATGTGTATGGTACAAGAATAGAAAATAAATACTGGTATACGTGGTTTTGTCTCGTTTTGTTCCTTATACTGCTTTTAAAAAAGGAGAAGGAGAAAAGAAGGGATGAGGGGTTAATAACTAAGCAACTAAGGGACGGTCACATCCGAATACTTCCCACCCCTGTGTCCACCCGTCGTCTGTCTGTCCCTGTGTTTACAATATACTTTTGAAATCTATATATGACAGATTATTTGTAGGATCCTTAAAATGGAATGATACGATTGTAATTCTGAACGTACGTTTATGTTCCTCTCCTTCACTTCTTAGAAAGGACCTCCTGACAACACCCTATTTGCTTAAAAACCGAGCTTGTAGTCTATTGGGAGACGCCAAAATTGAAGCAAATGTTAACTGCGAAAAAAGGGAAGGTGCAATGTCGCCTGCACGATTAACTCTTTGTCAACTTGGGTAATGCCACACGTCTATTTTACCTTGGACCGACACATTGTTGCATTTGGACGATTTTTCTGCCTATATATAAGGACAAACATAGCGCCAGGAAATTACAGTCTGACTGAAATCAGGTATTGTGAAGGTCGCCTAATAGATACATTGTAGATCCTGCCCTCTGCGGTCAAGATTTGAAACACCATGTCGTTCTTAGTTACATGTACCAATACGGCGGTGCTGTTAGTCGTAGGGATGTCGCTAGTGTACGGCCAAGGTAATGTACAACGTTAATATGATTCATCTGTTGTTTGTTTTATTCTTATTCTAATGACTTTGGCAAATCGAGTGTTGGATCGAAGGGGAATGCACAAAATTGTGATATTCATTTATAGATAAAACACTTATAACTGGCAGTGAAACAAAAAATCATTAATAGTAATAATAATAATAATCATAATAATAATAATAATGGTGATGATGATGATAAGAAGAAGAGGAAGAATGATGATGCACTTATTTTAATTATATGAAAGTAGGCCTACAAGCCGCAGACTTGTAGAGAGAAAGATGACGGACAGAATTAACAGTTCCATGCATATGCATTTTTAAAAGTGTTGAATTGTTTACGGCACACTCCAGTGACATTCATGTACATGTATTTACTGTATAACCCATGCCCGAGATGCAGCTTCGCCGGCTTCTTTGCTTGATAAATGAGCTATGAGGATATGGACCAATGGCTTGATTCAGTTGCCGAAGTGAATAGCATAACATTTGTGTTTTAAAATGTCATATTGTAATTACCGCGGTGAAGCCATTTACTTCGTACATATACGGTTATGAGCATATTGAACATATCATCACGTATTTGCATCTAGCCACCTGACACCTTGGACACATTATACCAAGCTTATACACTACCACCACGGTAAAGTTGATTGTACTTTGCTAGTACTGTATATCACATCGTGTCAATCTCGCATCTATGGAGTTCAGTAAGTGGCGAAAGAGATACAGCCATGTCTTTTTCGGCTCTCAAAGCTCTGTAGTAAAAGACGAATTCGGCATAGGCCTTGTCGTTTTCGCATGTTAAAGGGCGTCTAAAAGACGCACGCGTAGGCTCCTATGGGCCATGGTATGCCTGCTTGTTGTTGGTGCAAAATTAATTGTACACTGGGAGTGTTAGGTTTAATTAATGTATGGAACAGTTCTTTCATCCAAGCGCTAATTAAGCTGTGGTAAGATGGATGCTTTTTAAAGCTAAATAAGACTTGTTGCTCGGCTATGGAAGTTGTCATACATTTCAGTGAAATCTTTCAGGTGAATTTGCATTTTTATCTTAATATCTAGTAAGGGGAATGATATTACGACTTTAGTTTTGGTCAAATTTAGACCAAGCCTTTACTTATTGTAAATAAATAAATAAATAATAATAATAATTAAAGAAAGAAAATTGGTGAATATGGTGAATAGGAATGAGTTCCGTATAAAGTATGAAACTATCAAATGAAAAGAAATAAAAAACACCCTGCTTTTATGTATTATCTATTTGAAACAAACGATTTCACTTTGCCTTGTAACAGCACTCAATTACAATGATATTTTTTTTTACAAAAATTAGAAGTGGATTGCTGTCAGCAATGAATATAACAAGTGGCGGATTTAGAGGGGCGGTCAGGGGGTCCTGACCCCCCTCCCTTCTGTTTCTGAAAAATATATCACACCAATAACCCCTCTTAAAATTAGAATTTTGATTAGCTGTTTCATAGTTCTAAACCGTACCAAAGGGCACCGTTTGCCCTCCAAAGCACCAAAAATTTTTCAGGGCTCTTTCAAAAGCAGGCCCCGAACCCCATGCCAAGGGGGCGATGGTCCGCTTCGCATCCGAGGCCTGTCGTTCCGGACCTCCCCTTCAAATAATCCTGAATCCGCCCCTGATAACTCAAATAAAATCAATTTCAACCTCCCTCTCGACCGACCTATTCCTCACAAACATATGTGCATATCACCAGCGTGCACGCACGCGGAGTCGTACACGCGAAGTCCTACGATTTACAAATGTGTATGTATTTGTATCATAATTAAATGGGCTTGAAATGAATTTATCAAAGACCTATAATGCACTAAAGTTTTAGACAATACCAGCAGAAATTTTCGCTCAGGCTCTGTGAGACCTTTTCATCTGTCAAATGATGTTGTAACCAACCAGAGAAGAATTTCATCACCTGCATGTGTTATGTTTATAACGATAAAGTAATTTTTTCTTCAATCAATAGCTCACATTAAGATTGGTTACCTCTGAAAAGGGCATTCTACATTCGACAGACATTACATTTTTTGAGGTAAACTATTTCATATATATATATTTTGTATAGCACATTATCTCATGGTATAAGATGTCCTTGTTTATCATTTTAGCTCCTTTCCCACGTCCTAGCTTGATTTAGAAAATTTTGATACCGTGGTACATAATGTTTTGCTGTCGGAAAGTTTGGCCCGGTCAAAGTAGGCCTCAATACTACCGCGAGCTATGCCAATATCAAGAGTGAGGTTTATTACTAAACAGCAATATGATGGATGTGATTGAATAATAATAATAATAATAATAATAATAATAATAATAAAGGATAGAGTGGTCTAACGAGCTGGGTGTATCAGAGGCTTCAACTACTCTCTACCGGTGCCGCATTTTTAAAATTTGGACTTTTTTCTCTGACGCGAAAAGTACAGAAAAGTTCCAGCACTTATCTAGAGACAAATCCGTGAATATCTAGTGAAAAATCAGCCCTTGGTAGAGGGTAAGCTTCAACGCCGCCGAGGAGATATGGGTGTCCAATTCTGCTGTTTCTGGTACACAACGTCACTAGGGATCTATGAGTCGTCTGTATAACATTCTTCGTTTGACTCCGGGCGTGGACTTTAAATGTGTCCTTGGTTTCTCATACTACATGAAGTTGTTTTTGTTTACACGTAATATCATTTTATAAGCAATTTAGTTCTTACTTCATGCCAAATTCTTATAATATACCACTAGATTTTGGATTAATACATAACATTATGTTAGTGTTCATCGTTTTCTTTATTGGTTTATAAATTGATCATCTAATGAATGATTAAAACTTGCTCTAGACACATGCGATACAATCCAACCTATGGAACTTAACCAAGCCTGGAGGAACAGAGGGTTTACTGTGACCTGGAGCGACACACACCACTGCGACAGAGAGCCTGATAACCAATACAGCAAATGCTGACGGATGGACGGAAGGCTGGTATCGATTCACCGGTGACGCCGGAACAAAATTAGCAAATGAGGTTAGTAATCTTTCTTCTTGAACTAAAACATATGCTCTTTATGGCAACATCTCCTAACTGTTGTCCCTTTACTGGTGTGGAAATTAATACAGAAATTCTGATATTGTGCAGGGGATACAGTTTCAGTAATAAAATAATATTGTACAACACGTACATATATCACTGATTTAGTTTAGAATAAGAGGACAAAACCACAAATATCATACATGTATCACTAGCTACATGTCTTTTATTGTGTTCAAGTCGATAACTTCGGGTAATTTTTTCTCTTTTAAATAAATCTGTCGACCTCGTGAAGATACAGGAAAGCTCTGATTTGGTGATTTTATAATATATTGCTGACAAATGCAGTTTATTAAATTCCTATTCCTCTCCATGATATGAATCATTATATAGTCAATTCATAGGACTACTCAAACCTGCTGGAAACATTTTGACGACATTTTAGGAAAATGTTCCATCCTGTTACATGTTTCGGTGATGTCAATTTTGACTAAAGATTTTAATCTTTTCGGTGGACAAAACTAAAAAGGTAAAGCCATGAAATTTTCAGCATTTATTAAAAACATCATTTTCCTGATTCATCCCTAATTCCATTTGCAATATCTTCAAAACTGATGAAGTTTTTAAACTTTGAAATAAATGTTTTTTAGCCGAGCGATATATATTAATAATAAAAAATTTTAAAAGTTTATTGAGTATCAAATTATAGCATGCTATTTATCATGCAACAATTCCTTAATTTCTACTACAAATAATAAGCTTCTGGTATAACTTACAACGTATACGGCTCCTACGCCAACATGTGGCTAAGCGACCCTGAACCAGCTGAGGCCGACGGCTCGGTGGACAGGCAAGTCTGTGTCAGCTCGGAGCCAGATTGCTGCGTCGACACCCTAACAGTGAAGGTTCTCAACTGTGGCTCACACTTCTTGTATTACTTGCCACAAGCGCCTGCCTGCTACGCAACTTTCTGTGGAGATAACTAGGCTCAGTCGCACAACCCGCCTAACAATAATTTGATTTAAGTTTAAAAGGAATTTAATACACGAGAACTTACGTACATGTACACACGCGCTCGCTCGCCCAAAACACCCCNATAATTAAAGAAAGAAAATTGGTGAATATGGTGAATAGGAATGAGTTCCGTATAAAGTATGAAACTATCAAATGAAAAGAAATAAAAAACACCCTGCTTTTATGTATTATCTATTTGAAACAAACGATTTCACTTTGCCTTGTAACAGCACTCAATTACAATGATATATATATATATATATATATATATATATATATATATATATATATATATATATATATATATATATATATATATTTTTTTTTTTTTTTACAAAAATTAGAAGTGGATTGCTGTCAGCAATGAATATAACCAGTGGCGGATTTAGAGGGGCGGTCAGGGGGTCCTGACCCCCCTCCCTTCTGTTTCTGAAAAATATATCACACCAATAACCCCTCTTAAAATTAGAATTTTGATTAGCTGTTTCATAGTTCTAAACCGTACCAAAGGGCACCGTTTGCCCTCCAAAGCACCAAAAATTTTTCAGGGCTCTTGAGCAGGCCCCGAACCCCATGCCAAGGGGGCGATGGTCCGCTTCGCATCCGAGGCCTGTCGTTCCGGACCTCCCCTTCAAATAATCCTGAATCCGCCCCTGATAACTCAAATAAAATCACTTTCAACCTCCCTCTCGACCGACCTATTCCTCACAAACATATGTGCATATCACCAGCGTGCACGCACGCGGAGTCGTACACGCGAAGTCCTACGATTTACAAATGTGTATGTATTTGTATCATAATTGAATGGGCTTGAAATGAATTTATCAAAGACCTATAATGCACTAAAGTTTTAAACAATACCAGCAGTAATTTTCGCTCAGGCTCTGTGAGCCCTTTTCATATGTCAAATGATGTTGTAACCAACCAGAGAAGAATTTCATCACCTGCATGTGTTATGTTTATAACGATAAAGTAATTTTTTCTTCAATCAATAGCTCACATTAAGATTGGTTACCTCTGAAAAGGGCATTCTACATTCGACAGACATTACATTTTTTGAGGTAAACTATTTCATATATATATATATATATTTTGTAAAGCACATTATCTCATGGTATAAGCTGTCCTTGTTTATCATTTTAGCTCCTTTCCCACGTCCTAGCTTGATTTAGAAAATTTTGATACCGTGGTACATAATGTTTTGCTCTCGGAAAGTTTGGCCCGGTCAAAGTAGGCCTAAATGCTACCGCGAGCAATGCCAATATCAAGAGTGAGGTTTATTACTAAACAGCAATATGATGGATGTGATTGAGTATGATATGATGAATGAAGTGATTGAATAATAATAATAATAATAACTAGACTGCAACTGGCTTAAGCCAGTGGCGGAAGATTCCCCTGCAAAATAGGTGTGGAAACGCTCTTACAAGGTCATGTGAAGGTCATGGGTTAAATTTGACCCCATATTCTGAAAGAGCATGTGCGAATTGGGGGGGGGGGGGAACAAAACATCACTTCTAGGCCACTTCAATATTTCTCCATGAAATAGCCGAATGACCTTGAAAATGAGGGTCAAGGTCAAATTTGACATTTGATTTGGGGGTGTTGGGTATATGTTTGGGGTAGTTTACTATAGCATGTTATCACAAAAAATCAATATTTCATGGAGAAATTGACAAAGTCACTATTTCTGTGAAATTATTAATATTTAAAAATCTATATTAAAAAACTAATCTGTCAATTGTCAATATTATTAAATACTGCACTGGATAGATATCTAGGGCAACTTTTTACATCATCCTTGTGGCTCTGTGACATCTGGTTTACCACCTGCCGAGTGTCAACCTCCTGGAGCATATTTTGCAATAGGTTGACCTTGACCTGACCTACTTTCCTAAAATTAGGTCACTTGATATAGAATTATTGTGTGATCTAACCTGTGAAAGGATTCGTCAAAATGTTGAAAATTCTAGGAGATATTGCATTTTGAAATTTGCAAAAATTTCACTTTAAAAGGCTCTGTGACCTTGAAAATTAGGTCAAGGTCAAAAAAATTGGGTGGACCGGAATAACTTTTCATAGGCTATCAGTATGAATTTTTTCAGAATTTTAGAATGAAATTTTTGGACGAAAAATAATAATAATAATAATAAGAAGAAGAATACCAAAAACAATAGTATTCCCCTATGGGGAATCCTAATAACAATAATAATAATAATAATAATAATAAAGGATAGGGTGGTCTAACGAGCTGGGTGTATCAGAGGCTTCAACTACTCTCTACCGGTGCCGCATTTTTAAAATTTGGACTTTTTTCTCTGACGCGAAAAGTACAGAAAAGTTCCAGCACTTATCTAGAGACAAATCTGTGAATATCTAGTGAAAAATCAGCCCTTGGTAGAGGGTAAGCTTCAACGCCGCCGAGGAGATATGGGTGTCCAATTCTGCTGTTGCGGGTATACAACGTCTCTAGGGATCTATGAGTCGTCTGTATAACATTCTTCGTTTGACTCCGGGCGTGGACTTTAAATGTGTCCTTGGTTTCTCATACTACATGAAGTTGTTTTTGTTTACACGTAATATCATTTTATAAGAAATTTAGTTCTTACTTCATGCCAAATTCTTATAATATACCACTAGATTTTGGATTAATACATAACATTATGTTAGTGTTCATCGTTTTCTTTATTGGTTTATAAATTGATCATCTAATGAGTGATTAAAACTTGCTCTAGACACATGCGATACAATCCAACCTATGGAACTAAACCAAGCCTGGAGGAACAGAGGGTTCACTGTGACCTGGAGCGACACACACCACTGCGACAGAGAGCCTGATAACCAATACAGCAATGCTGACGGATGGACGGAAGGCTGGTATCGATTCACCGGTGACGCCGGAACAAAATTAGCAAATGAGGTTAGTTATCTTTCTTTTTGCTAGCGGATCACGAGAGGGATGTGTTGACCTTAATGGGGCGCGGGCTAGAAAAGGACAGGTATAAATTAATGTTATTGTATACTTTTAAGTTTATGATGAAGACAGATGAAAGGAATAGAAGGGTGATACAAAGTGCCAAATAATGATACAGAAATTGAGTGAATAAATAGTATATCAAAGGTTGTTTCTCTCTCAAACAAAACTTTGATGATGCTTAAAACTGGACCTGTTCTTGAACTAAAACATATGCTCTTTATGGCAACATCTCCTAACTGTTGTCCCTTTACTGGTGTGGAAATTTATACAGAAATTCTGATACTGTGCAGGGGATACAGTTTCAGTAATAAAATAATATTGTACAACACGTACATATATCACTGATTTAGTTTAGAATGAGAGGAGAAAACCACAAATATCATACATGTATCACTAGCTACATGTCTTTTATTGTGTTCAAGTCGATAACTTCGGGTAATTTTTTCTCTTTTAAATAAATCTGTCGACCTCGTGAAGATACAGGAAAGCTCTGATTTGGTGATTTTATAATATATTGCTGACAAATGCAGTTTATTAAATTCCTATTCCTCTCCATGATATGAATCATTATATAGTCAATTCATAGGACTACTCAAACCTGCTAGAAACATTTTGACGACATTTTTGGAAAATGTTCTATCCTGTTACATGTTTCGGTGATGTCAATTTTGACTAAAGATTTTAATCTTTTCGGTGGACAAAACTAAAAAGGTAAAGCCATGAAATTTTCAGCATTTATTAAAAACATCATTTTCCTGATTCATCCCTAATTCCATTTGCAATATCTACAAAACTGATGAAGTTTTTAAACTTTGAAATAAATGTTTTTTAGCCGAGCGATATATACTAATAATAAAAAGTTTTAAAAGTTTATTGAGTATCAAATTATAGCATGCTATTTATCATGCAACAATTCCTTAATTTCTACTACAAATAATAAGCTTCTGGTATAACTTACAACGTATAACCCTGTCAGTTCATACAACTTGGGTCAGCGCTCGCGCAACGCGTGCACAGAGAGAGAGAGAGAGAGAGTGAGAGAGAGAGAGAGAGAGAGAGATCAAATCATATTAAGTCTGGTTTATTTCAAATACTTGACTAGAGCGTTTGAATTGCAACGTTAGATGATAGTGCTGACGCTGTGCTGATTACCACAGGCAGAATACAAACGATGAGCTCGCCCGCATTTTTGGGTTGGTCGCTTTTTGTGTCTGTATGTGTTTGTGTAAAATTAAGCTACCAGCAGGCTCCACTTTAATGTTTGATGCTGGCATATACCTGGCAATTGTAGCTCAAACTTTCATCTATGAAAGCGTTCGTATTGCGGTGTGGTGAATTAATTACAACAATTCAGAAAAGACGACCCGTGGTCCGTCCGTGCGCATGACGATATACTGTAATCAGAGACCACTCCTGAACACGGAATAAATATGAATAAACACCAGTATAATTTGGAGAAATGGAAAATTAAATTTTTACGTTTCAAAAACAATCTGACATTGTTTAATTATTTAAAGTTGTTTCATTACTTAAAGCATCTTTCGTTGCAGTGTGTACAACCTTTCCATTGCGGCTCCTACGCCAACATGTGGCTCAGCGACCCTGAACCAGCTGAGGCCGACGGCTCGGTGGACAGGCAAGTCTGTGTCAGCTCGGAGCCAGATTGCTGCGTCGACACCCTAACAGTGAAGGTTCTCAACTGTGGCTCACACTTCTTGTATTACTTGCCACAAGCGCCTGCCTGCTACGCAACTTTCTGTGGAGATAACTAGGCTCAGTCGCACAACCCGCCTAACAGTAATTTGATTTAAGTTTAAAAGGAATTTAATACACGAGAACTTACGTACATGTACACACGCGCTCGCTCGCCCAAAACACCCCCCCCCCCACACACACACATGCTAATCAATCAATAATCTTACTTTCCAGCAAATGCAACTTCTCGAGACGATGAGCCAGGTATCACCGCATTGATGACTAGGAGGGTTCCACACGGTCTGTGGCAGACGTTCTTTTTAGAACTTTATTTTCACTCATCACTCAAACAGATGCCGGCAAACATGCATAGCACGTGCACGCCTACACACACGCACATAATGCCACAAACCATGAACACACAATAACAAACAAACAATTGGCACTTCAATCGATAATGTTCCTGGAAAAATTATTTCAAATTCTATAACGTTTGATGAACAAAAAACCATTTAGAGGGAAAGGTCTCGAGAGCAATAAAAAGAAATAAAAAAACTTTCATGTATGATTTGTTTGACAACATTTGAACACAATGAATGAAACCCCCATAAAAGGCCAATTAAATCGCTATTGTTTCTCTTATACTAAACATGGGAAATAATACGTTTTTTAAAATATAATTTTTTATTCATATTAAAATTAAAGAAATTTCCTTGATAAAATTATTGACTTTGATAGTGGTTACTTGTAGACTAGGCTCAACCTGAAGCAGGAACCATTTACCCACACCGAGTGTCAGAGCCTTTCTCTCTAAATGAGAGAGAGAGAGGAAAGAAGAAGAAGAAAAAGAGAGGGGGGTACTTTGTTACTTGATCGTGTTCTTGCGCTTTGTCACTCTCTACACATCCGGTTTCTATCACGATTTTACTCGGAGCTTGTGAGCAAAAACGGCAAATCTGGCTAGGGAAGCTTTTACTATATATGTACATGTATTTTTGTAATTTTACTTTTAACTTTCACAAAATATTGTGAAATCTTTGCTATCTGTTTAATTTCTTTTGCACATTTTCCGGAAATAGTCTAAACTTATTAAGTATCAATAATGATCAGAAGTCCAAAACTATTTTCCATCGTACCTTTTCATTTTGTTCTTCTTGAAATTGACGGAGAGAAGTAGAGAGGACGGTTTGGTGATGTCATAAACTATGGCAAATAATCACATTTTAAGTTGGTATTTGTCCCGTATATAGTCAATAAACCAAGATGGCAACAACAACAACAACAACAATAAAAATATTATTAATAATAAAAATAAATTTAATTTACGCATCCTTTACGCTATCAGGAGGCTATGAAGATAAACGAAGTTAGTTTCAGATGCAGAAAACGTTTTATTTGGACTCGGGACTGAAGTAATTTTTTACCACTAACGCTCCATTGGCCTTGTAGGATACGGTCACGTTACAAGATTACGTGATCATATATTTTTAATCTCGTATGTACTTTTTCATAGATTGACGAGGGGTCCAACTACTCCCGGTTCCCCTACCTATCCTAAAAAGTTGAGTAAAAAACCTTCATAAACCTGTTTTTGAGTTAGAAATTCAATCTCTTATCTATATTGTCACGACTGAAATTTACCAGTCTCTATACCTCTGTTACTAGAGAGGGCCCCCAAAACGCCTTTAAAAGGTTTACGGTCGTGGCGGGGCTAATTGGCATAAGCGTCCGAGTAAGTTTGCACACTATACAGTAAGTATTCCATATGAACGCCTTGAAATAAACTTTTACACATTTTAAAATTTCACGTGTATAAGATTGATTTTTAGAGCCTTTGATAAATTAGTAGTCCAAATGAATCAGATATATCGAGGTTTTTATGCGTTACTTCATTATTTTGAATGTGTTGAAAAAAACGTAACAACAGCCCATGGCAAATATCTATGAATCAAACTTGTTTTTTTTTATTTAGAATAATCTTATAGTGGCATATAATAGGTTTTCAATAAATGATAACGAATAATAAACTTTTGTTTTACAAATACCTCATAAACGCAGCCTTCAACTGGTAGCCTATTAATTTAACAAACCCTTGACTTTGTTCTAACATCAAATTCATGTATCACATATGTTGTTTTGGTCTCCTGGGAGCCGTTACTCGAAAGCATCGCGTATTGCTAATGGCGATATTAGAGGCTACAGTGTATTGTATGGGGCGAGTACGGGCGAGTTATGGAATCGAGACGCTTGCGCTCGGTCGCAATGCGCGATGCTTTCGAGCTACGGGGCCTGGTGTGCGTCTTTCATATGACCAATTCAAACAACGAATACATCTTATTCGACCACAAGCCTATGAAAATAGATTTTAAAATCTTTTTAGCAAAATTACTTTTGGATGCAGAAATTCTTCATTTGGGTTCACCGCTTGACTTTAGGCTAACTATTTTGGGACTGACGTTTTCTTGGCATTGATGGGTACAGTCACTTTCCATGGTTATGAGATCATTTTTTTTACCTCTTGGGCCTACATGTAGTTACATTTTCATAAATTGACGAGGGGCGAACTTAGGCCTACCCCGGGGTCCAACTAGCCCCAGTCTACAGATTCTAGGCCCTAGCTTGGTGATTATGCGAATTTGAAGTTGAATGCCAGGCAAACTGCAAAGAAAGTTGATAAAATTGATGATGTATATTTAAACAAAAAAATTAAAAAGTCGTCTACTGTGTAGACCTACCGATATCCATAACATTCTTAGGGCAACTGTTGATAACGAGTGCAACTGGCAGTTGCACTCGTTATCTACAGTTACCGTAAGAATGTTATGGAGAAGATGCGTGAATTGCTACAGTGGGGATGAAATCACGTGACGGTTCAAGATGGCGGCGGAAATCAAGTCTCCAGTTCCTCCGCAAGGAAATGTCCGAAAACCTCAGCTAATAAACAAGTTAGAGGGCATTTCAGATGCTATAAATATGGCTGTGATAATTCCGCGAGAAGACGGTGTCATTAGCGTGAGTGACGATAAGTAAGTAAAGCGGTTGGAGCTTTTGTAGGCGTTGCATTGGGGATCGCTGTCTCGGTGTATCTGTCAGTATGACTGTGCAGAGATTTTGAGTTGACTGTTGAGTGCTGGGAGCCTGTGGACTGCCCTCTGTGACTGCCTCCTTTGGTCCGGTACTGAGTAGCATCGGGGACCGTTCCATGCCCACTGGCTGTAATTTTTTCTGCCATTAGATGACACATCCATTTAAACTCAGAATTATTTATTTATTTATTGTTGATTTTTGCATTTTCCTTATAAGTTGGAGTACCAGTATGTTACCCTCAGGTGGTTACCCACCCCCTTCTGCACACAATCACATCACCTCAGAACTTTTCTGTGTATTAGAGGGTTGATAACCACCACACCATTAAATGAAATGTTTTGGTGTTTGAATGATGCAGATGTTCAGATGTTATCAGTGGATTAATTAATGCCCTTTGAACTTTGTGTTGTACAATGTTAACATTGTGACACTTCATTCATTTTTAGTGCCATGAGTTCTGGCTGAGTATTTTGTATTATTAAAAAATGATATCAAACAGTGTTATTTCTAATTTTGAACAATGTTGGAAAAGAAAAAAAATCTACTACAATGTACATACAGGCTATACTTGTCATCCCCCCTCCCTCCATTCTCCTGACATGCTGTATGTTTTACTGTCTACATGTGCCCAGTATTTTCTGTGATGATCATAAGATCGTGACTCAGTCTTGATAATTGCCTCTTCTTTTGTTGCTCTTGTTATGAATACAGCTGATGACTCATCTGTTGAGATAACAGCTAGCTTGTTACATGTGCTAGTACACATCACTAATTATTCTTTATTTAATTAATACATACAGTTGTACTTAAAATGTTAAAGTTTATCTTATGTACTACTTATTTCAACATTTTACTCATACTTAGAGATTTGCCATCTTTAAAGGTACTATTTAGCCAGGATTTGGTGGAGTGTGAATTCTCAGTAATGCATATAACTAGTACTTCTACTAGTTTCTTATACGTCTCAAATGAAGTCAATATGTCAGGGGATAAGCTGAATTAATCACTTTATAAAAGAGCTTAAAACTGCACCTTATTCAAATTTTGATCCCATATTTGACCTACAACTTATCTGCCATATATATATATATATATATATATATATATATATATATATATATATATATATATATATATATATATATTACATGTAGTACAGCACAGAAAGCAAACAGAAAATCTGTTTAAATATAATTTTTTGTAATATTGCATATGTCTTTTGGTATTTCTCTGAATTATACTGTTTGAAAATACTGTATATGGTGGCAATTTGCTGGCTTTTGTAGCAAAAAAAATTGACTTTGAATGCATCTTTAGTTGCTTATAAACATGTATTTTTTATATGTGGCATGTGGACTTACTTGAGTGGTTTTGAAAACTAGTAGTTGTGATTTATATGCATTACAGAGAGTCTATTCTTGCATATATGCAGCTTTAATATGACAGTACTATTGATATGACTAGAAGCAGTATTACTGATGTCCACTTCAGGACAGTGCGGGTGTGGTTGAAGAGGGACACTGGACAGTACTGGCCCAGCATATGTCATAGCATGCCAGCCGAGGCCTCCGCTCTGGACTATAATGCTGAAACCAGGAGATTGTTTATTGGGATGGACAATGGAACCATCTCTGTAAGTACCTGGACGCTTATAGCTATATTTCTACCATGACAGATATATCAAGAATAAAAGACCCAGGGGTTGTTTAGCTCATATCACTGCATGGACGAATGCCAGCTACGCAAATTTGTGTCTTTTGTTCTGGACATCTGACATGATATACATGTAGCAGGGGCGGATTAAGGCCATCTTTTGGGTCTTCCAAAAGACGGTCAGATTTCAAGTTTACATTAATGGGTATCTAATTTTCTTCTGTCAGAAGACGGTCAAAAATGGAGGATGTACATATTAACAAAGGTAATTTGGAAGAGTGTCAGAAAACATTTCTGGATCCGCTCCTGTGTAGTATATACAGTAGGTCTGAGTTGGATATTAGTCCACCACAGGGGGATTATTGGACACTCTCTCCTAGTTCACATTTATGCTCGTCATCGTAAAATACCCCCTTGATGACCAGTGGAGGGAGGGGGGGGTATCTATAAGATATTTGAAAAAGAAATTGGCTCTTTTACTCAATTGCTTGTTATTCAGTGAAATGCATCTTGTGGCTCTTGGTCTACTTCCAAGTCATATTGAGTCCCCCTGAAATGAAAAGAGGTCTTTAAGTAATTTTATTTTTGGTAATTAAACTAAGTAAATCAATCAGTTAATAGGTGAGTGTCCAAATGAACAAAAAGAAACAAAAGAATGTGCAGTATAAGGATAAAAACCAAAAAAGTAAATTACAGAATAATGTGCTATTGTACATAATGTTTATATATAACAAAAAAATCGAATTTATTTATTTAATTAGATTTGAGTAATATATATGTATCTGTAATAAAATGATTCCTCAGTCACCATGTGTAATTTTTACACCAGCCAGAATTCAGCTAAAGAGATGACACCTCCTAATTTGAGATTGAAAGTTCTGCAATAAGTACAGTGTAAATACCATATAACTAATTTAATTTTAACACCAAAACAGCATATATTGCAATTGACCATAAATCTGTGTTTGCCATGAAACCACGTAAACCTCCATAGATGGCTACCCTCCTTAATAATCTTTTAAGAGATTATTACAAAAAATGTTAAAAAACAAACTATCCATTAACTTTGAATGTCTGAATTGATTCATTAACCATTGGTAAGTATGGGAACATCTTCATTTACCCAGGAAAATCCTTTTTATGGCACTTTCCCCACCAAAATGAAGAATTGCTATCCTTTCAAGTTAAACCTAATTTTCCAGAAATTTCAACCAAATTTCAATATTTCCAGGAATTCCAGTTGGCAGATGATTTCAACAGAATGACGCAAACAAGGGATTATTTAGGTTAGTTGTATAAAGTAGTGCACCAGGAAGTTTTGATTCTTCTGAAATTACATTTTTAATTAGTATCTTGTTTAATTGAGATATGAATACAAGTGCAGTGTGCTGCCAGCAACTTAGCCTTATTGTAATGGATAGAAAAGTGTACTGCATTGTGCCCTTTGCTTATCCTTTTTCTTTGATGTATACAGTCTGGGGTAGCGCTAGCAGTTTTTTCCCGTAGCCAAATTTCATTACTTTTTTTGCAAAATGGTTTAAATTTGACTAAAACAAGTCAAATTAGCCCTATTTTGTTTAGCCATTTGAAGTCAGTTTTAGAATTTGGCTAAATAGACAAGTGTTCAAATCTTTACCTTGTGCTATAAAATTAGTTACAGTCTAATGCAGTGACACAACCATAAATGTGATGATTATTCATTTATTTATGTACAGTGTGTGTGTGCGTGCATGCAGGTTTCTTTTTGCAGTGTATCCATTATGATTTGACAATCATATCAGTGGTGTTAATATTTCAGCTCACCAGAACCGTGTGACCAGTCTGTACTTCACACTGAACTGTGAGTGGGTTCTCAGTGTTGGCAGAGACAAGTACTTTACCTGGCACTGCTCTGAGACTGGCAGAAGACTGGGAGGAAGTCAGGCCAATGCCTGGTGCACCAGTCTCAAGTGTCCTTCACTTTAGGAATAGTGGCTGATATAGGAAAAACTAAATAAAAAAGTTATAATAATAATAATAATAATAAAATAGATATCAGAGGAAATCAAATAGCCCTGATTGAGTAGAAGGCTTAATCTGTACAGTAGTTGCGTTTTCTTTAATTCTAACATAATAATTCTAGTTATAATTGTGGCCAAATAACATCAGGACCAGTTTGCCTTAATTAGTGTTCAGATTTGATGAGCAATCCAAGGTGGCATTTGTAGGTGACTACGGGGGGCACATCATGGTCATCAAGGTGACAAATAACTCCTGTGACGTGTCAACCACATTGAAAGGACACCAAGGTGAGTGGAACAGTACAGGTGTGTTCAGACAAGAGATTCTTTGGACTGGAAAGCTTGTACCCTAGAGACATCTGGTGTCAGAATGTTTTTAAAGTATTTATAATTTTATTTATATCTTTATTATGTATGGAATGAATATTATATTTACAATTTATATCTAGCTTTCTAAACAACTATTTGACTACAGTGTTCATTACATAGACTTGTACAACATATTTACCCTGAAGCTGATAAAACTGTCTTCTGATAATGAGCTATTAGTATAAATTGCAGGCAGTGTGCGGTCACTGGCGTGGGATGCAGAGAGAAGTTTGTTGTTCTCGGGCAGCTTTGACCAGTCTATTATAGTGTGGGATATTGGTGGTCAGCAGGGAACAGCCATAGAACTACAAGGACATCAGTATGTATTTAGGATATACTCTGTATTTTGTCTTATACTGAGCTCTACTGGTAGAGTGCTAATCTCTGGTGCACTAGGCTGTTTATTTCCCATTGTAGGGTTATACCTAAGCTTAGATGATTATAAAAAAGTTTCCTTGCTAAGCACTCACCATGTACAGGATGAGGCAGTGAATATAGACCTGGTCATATGGTAGTGCTGATACACTGACCTAATGGGATTGTGGAGCAGGAGGACCATGTTCTACCCTGTTCTTCATGAGCTTACTTTTGGTTTCCCCTCTTGGCACTCTGCAGCTTGAGTTGAAGCAGGGGTTGAATTCCTAGTCAGGCAGTGAAAGATATTGTTTAATTGCTATCTTTCAGTGCCTCATATGACAGCTATGCTTTATCCTCCCCAGGGAGGCAAGAACATCATCACCTATCTGCATCAGGGCCAAAAATGTATGATGTAAACAGCGCAGAGATGCTTGTGGAGTGCAGCATTTAAGACTGTGAACTTTATTTTAATTGTGAATGATAATCATATTATTGCCACATATGCCATTGTTTGGGCTGTATGCGCCCCAGGGAGATGTGATTATTTCTTGCTTCCATTTATTTGTATTAGTTTCTAATTGCAACTGGCTCTGCATGCTCTTTCCTTTTCCGTCTCTCTCTCTCTCTTTCTCTCTCTGTCTATCTCAATTTCTAATTGTAACTTTTGCACGTAATTCTATATGTGGAATGAATGTCATACACAGTACAGTACAAGCTGCCAATGATGTACTTCTTATTTTAACACACTTTATTCAGAAACGTTTGTCAATTCAGGGACAAAGTAGTCAGCTTAGTATATGGTTCCTCCTCTAGACAGTTGTTTTCCTCTGGAGATGACAATATGTTAGTTATATGGAATATGGATGTACAGAGGACAGAGGTGAGAAGTGGCCTCCTGAAATAATTCATTGACATTTTTGAAAATAAAAACATTAAAGAGATAGTATATTATAGAATCTGTAGAATTAAAAGTTCTTTTATAATAATAGAAAAGAAAAATACAGGAAATTGGTCTTGTTTAAAATGTGCATACAATTTGACATGATGAGTGGTAAAATTGGATTTATTAATAAAACATCTTGGAATTATAATGATACAGTGCTGAAAGCAAGGCTCAAATTCTATATTTCATCAAGGTCAGATCATAGATTCTTGAGGTATTTTTCAACAAAAAGGATGCAGTTGCATTATCCACATAACTTGTATGTACATATAAAAAAGGTGGAAACCATTTTAGATTTAATTTTAATAATTTTTATCTGTTTCTGATTTTTATATGATTTTGATTTCAGACACCTGAGTGGATAGAAAGTGATATGTGCCAAAAATGTGATTGTCCTTTTTTCTGGAATTTTAAAAGAATGTGGGAACAAAAAACAATAGGTAACAGACAGGTAAATAATATTATACTTGTCATTGCTATTATCTTAAGATATTGACATATGATATTTTATGCAATGAAATACTGTTATATAGGATAAGACACATGTTACAGTATTTATACCTGTTTTCTATATAAGGCCACACTTTTTTATTTTTATGGATGACATCCTGTGGGGACCCTGAAATCGGTGCGAGAGGGCGAAAAAAAAAAAACAGTCCAAAAAAAAAAAATACTGCTTAAGTAAAGGAATGCTGTCAGTATATAGCTAAAAACACAAATTTACCACAGAATCACGTATCAAACTAACACTATATGTCTTTATCCATGCTCTCAAAATATTAAAGCATTGTCAATACTTCGTAGAAAGGTAAAAAAAAGTCATTAATAGATATGCTGCATATTACCAAATCTATTTAAAGTTATTTGATGCATTTTGTTGGTATACCAATCAATAAAACAAATATTAAACAAACAGTATGTCTTTATTTGTGCTCTCAGAATATTAAAGCATTAAGAACACTTCACAGAAATGTTAAAAAATCATATTTTAATATACATTTTGAAAAAAAATCAGTTATGCTTAATACTACCAAATCTATAAAAGGTCATTTCGGTCAATGCCGCTTTGTCTACTTTGACTCGCACGAAGCAGCCACACTGTCGGGTGGTCTGTCCGACCTTCAGCCCACCAAATACGTCGACCCCCTTGTCAACCCTGTTTTCGCTCCAATAAAAAAACCTGGTATGTGCTGCTTTGGAAGGAATGTCACTGAAATTTTCCGGCCGATAATCGCTGGTCGCCGCCAGCCTTTCGTTTAATTATAGAAAGGTGATATCTCCATGCCCAATATCAATGGCATACCAATCCAAAACGACGGCCTCCGTCCTCTTTATGACTTTATTTGTTGTGTAATATGACAGTAATCCTAGAGATGAATTTGACGGCAAAGCGCCAGTTTCCACATGGCAATAATACATTTACGCAGAAAGCTCATTTCCGGGAAAATTGAATAAGGATGTTTGTGACAACCGACTTTGTTTGGGGTGAGTTTTTTTTTTCAGAGAATGGATGAAAATCGGTGCACGCGCAGGATGTCATTGAATAAAAATTAAAAAAAGTGTGGCCTAAAGAAAAATAAATATAGTAGTTACTGTTAGTACTAGTACATGCATGTAACATGCAAATAAACTTTATTTGTATCTATGCGGATATAAAATAAAATGGCAAATTATTGATGTCATAAATTGAACAAAGTACTTGTCCTGTGCAGTTAGAGCAGAGTAGAAACATCATACTATTTTACTGTCAGAGTATGAAGCACTGTGTAACAGCAGCAGTGATGGCGATGCCAGTCTGAATTACTAGAAGTTGCCTGGTGCCAGAATTATGCGATATTGTAGTCACCACAGAAATAAATGCATAGTTAGACAGTTTGATAACATTACTACACCCTGCCAGTGAAAATTAAGTAATTAAGTGTTAAAATGGAGTATACGTATCATAGCCGATGCTCATAAACAGTTGGTTTGAGCTCCTGCGGTTTGTCTTTATCCAGTAGTTTTCATCAGGATTGTCAGAGCTCCTATACCATCTATGTATGGGTGTCCTGTACATTGTGTATGATATTCAAATTTTATCCTTCATTTCATAGAGCAGGATGAATGAATTCTATATACTGTAGACATCCTAGCCACCCGTATACTTCCAGTTGCACATGTATGTTTTTCAAGACTGACATTTCTTTCAAATACATGTATTAAGTACCTTATTTCCAGCACCACTGCAGAAAATGTGGGAAGGCTGTGTGTAACAACTGCAGCAGCAAGCGGTCCACGCTCCCAGTGATGGGCTTTGAGTTTCCAGTGAGACTCTGCGATGCTTGTTTTGATTCAATCACAGATGAAGAGTAGGTGGTCACGTGATAACATGATTTCTTTTCTTTGATAAATGAGCAATCAGTATGTTTCCTAGCTTCCTGTAAAAACATATTGATGTAAACTTTAAACATTGTCAGTGATCTTCTTAGAGACAATGTTTTGCATACAGTCCCTGTGCAAAAATTCATATCATACATGTGAACATTACTTATTTTGCTTATCAACTTTTCAATAAAAATTATGATAATGCTACTAGTGATATCATGATGGACATATCTCTTTGACCTATGTTTTTTGAATTATATAATATGTAACTTCATGAAAAAATTACAGATGATGAATTTGATGTTATTTTTTATTCTTCCAAAAATGTTTTCAGTCGAGCACCGATGGCCACATTTCATGACATGAAACATGCTGTAGTTTTCATGCATTTAGATGAAACTAAGAAAAGGTTGCTCACAGTGGGCAAAGATAGAATAATTAAGGTAACTTTAGATGAGTTTTGATAAAGGTGATAGCAGTGTGGCACAGCACTGACAGTGATCATGACCATTAAACAGCAACTCTTCCAGTGGAACTACTTGAGCTGTGATTTTTTTCACCAAATTGGAGTCACATTTTATTCATCATTTCTAATTCTAAATCCATGATGATGTTTACAAATTGAAAATTAAACAATGCTATGAAGTTTGCTTTGAAATGGACAAAAATGGTAGTTTTAAAATATCCATCACATTTTAGTTGATTAATAACCACAGTACTGTTTATCTATACTGTGATAACCTAACATGATCACCCACACTGTGCTGTATTTATTATACCTTTTAGTAAAATTTTAAGGTCTCTGATTGCATGGTCAATAACCTTGCTCTAAAGTGTATATTGCAACTTCAAATTTTTTGTCATATAAGATGTTTGCGCAATGTGTTTTTAACATATCATTAAAATACAGATTATTTTAATAATATATCCTGTATGGTATAGTGAATTAATTTGATATCTTGCATTTGAAAAATAAAAATAATGTCAGGTTTTGATTTACTGCTATAATTTATTGCTGTATACTTTTCAGCTCTGGGATGTGAGCAGTGTGCTGCATTAGTGAAACTGATCTGTGGACACAGAGATATTGGACTCCAGTTCAGCAGGAAGCAAAAGGACAAATTCTACTTTTAAGTAGAAATATTCCAAGGAATACAAACCAGAAATCTGGGAAAATCAAGAAATATTTGTACAGAAACTTAATATGTCATATTCTTCTTCATAATAATTCCTTTGTCAAGAATTCGACAGGATCAGAGCCAAGAGGTCAGGAATAAAAAGCCACGACGATCAAAAATGATAACTATATATTGGTACTTTGAAGTAAACTGCTTTCAGGAAAAACAGACATTAAGTGATCCAATTTTAATTGATAAAACAACAAAAAAAGGGTCAGTGCTTGAGATAGCATATGTGCAAGGTATGACAGTGAACTGAAGGAGTTCAGTTTCTCAAGTGCATTATATCTCGGTGACCAAACAAATATAAGAAAATGGACTTACAGTACCTGTATAAGCATGAAGAAGGTACCTAACAGTCGGAGTTTCTTGGCAAATAAACTAACATTGCCATGCAGTAGTTTCATCTGATGAGAAATAATAATATTATAAATATATTATATAATTGTATGGTGCTGCCTCTAGGTAAAGTTGAACCACACAGCAGCTCTACCTAATCATGTGGTGATTGCATTGACAAGCTAAGGGTGTTGAACTGTGAGTGATCATATTGTTATCAGGTAAAGCATTCTTGTCTGTCTATGGAGGATTAGGAGTACAATTATAGTATCTCTTGCAACTTGATAAAAATTAGAGGATGTATGTGTTCATTGCAAGTGATTGATTTCATTGATCTGTGTACATATGTATTCATAAATGTAGAGTTCTGATATGATCATGGATTTGATACCATGTGATTGGTAGGGGTTGAACTTTAATCAACGTAGCACCCTAATTAGATCAGAAAAGCACTGCACTCCACTTTGCTTAAATTGTAAGTTAAAGGAACATTCATAGGGAGTACAAGTGGAGAATCTCTCTCTCTCTCTCTCCCGTGTGTAGTGTTATAGCAAATGTAATATGTTCAAATTCATACAGCTGTAGTTGTATACTGTTCATCATTCCATAGCCAGCATTTTATGTAGCAAATCCTCAAAAGCTTTAATTGAACTGCAAACTATTGATTAACCATTTCAAGACAACAGTTTCCAGCAGATAACAACACCAACTTAATTAGTAAGTGTTATTTCCTGTCAAGAGATGGCTTACAAAATCCAGTGTTGGTCAGAATTTCAACCCAAGTACAGGCTCTCTGATATGTAATATTGCATCAGTTTAACTATCAAAAGCAAATTGCTGGCTAAAAAAAGTAAAGGTAATATTTTTTTTTCATCATGTAACACTTTGTTTTTATCATTGAAGATATACAAATTGTGCCATCTTGCCTGCTTTACCAGTATGTGTTGTTCACTCATTTGCTTACTGGACAGGTTCTTCTACATTCTCATTTCTATGTGATTCACTCATCTAGAAATTCCTTAACGACTATCTAACATTGGTTGAGACAGTCTCACAAGAAATGGCTATTTATGCAAGTTTAGAATTATATTAGCATATGTATTAGGATACACTTTTCATTGTGGTGTGTATTATTTAAAAAAATTGTTGAAATATTTTTGGGGAAGAAATTAGTTGATAAAAATCATTCTTAAAAAATTATGAAGTGAGGTTATTGAAATGGGGGAAGCAATTTTAGTGTTGTAAGAACATCTGTTGTAGTTTACATATTTTTTTATTTAGAAAATATATTACAAACGTCAACATTTTCAGGTTGACAACACAAAATGAGCATAGATTGTATTAGGAATAAGACAGTAGCGTGCAGTCCACCAAACTGATTAAGTCGTTTTCAAGCAAGCAGTGGTCTAGATCTGTATGTACAGTGATGCTACATTGTATGCAGCAGCTAGACTCCACTTCACATAGGAATAGCCTTCTTACTGTCACAATGGTAACACATGCATACATACACCCTGAGAAAAATTTTGTTTCCAGTTGTCTTTACTGTTATCTTGAGTTAACTAATATAAAGACACTAAGGACGTGAAAAGAATACAACACTCTTTCCCCACATGGATGGTACTACAAATTAGCAAATTGCCCACTGTATTTATAATGGCAAATGAAATCATGTAAATAGTAACCATGAAATGGTTATTAAAAAATCTTTGGTTACCTAATGCTAGCCATTAGACTCTGTTTATTTTATGATGAAAAGTATAAAAATTACAGAATATTGGAAATTTAATCAGCAAGCAATTGTGGATATTAAAATAAAATATGCTCCATTTTTGTTGTCTGCTTTGTCTTTTGCTGACAACTGTGTTGTTGTTTATACATATTGCTTCCTTTCATACACCCCTTTCAATTTTCATTTTAATAATGCCCACCTTTTCTGTTAATTTGTTTTTTAAATCTACAGAAATAAATGTGTCACTGATCCTTTCTTTCTGACGTCTGCTTTACAACCGTAGTGCTAAAAAGACAATTATACAATATGGAAATCTTTATACTGACATAATGAAGTAAAAGTTCATACTCTGATTAAATAGGGCTTATAATGCTAACCTACATCCTCCTGATTGCTGTCAGTCAATACTACTGAAGAGTACAGTGTGCAACAAAATAATGGTTTTAAATATCTGGTTGTACTACAGGCTGTGCTCAGTCAAAACTCTTAATTGCCATTCATAATAATGATAATAGCAGTAATAATAATAATAATGACTTGCTAACTGTAATATGACACCATCTGAAAAAATAGAAATGATTCACATCTTATTTTAGGAAAGTAACAACACGTAATTGCCATCTGGGCCATACAGCACCATGAACATCTAGGATTCTTCTCTTATATGGCATTTCTAATACAACTGTTACAGTTGAAAAATAAATATAACTTCTGTAAATCCTTTGTAAATCTACTTCAGGTGGATCCCTGGAAGAAGGGCCCACTTGTTTAGAACAAGAGATTGCTGACATATTGTATACAGTTATAGTATATATCTAATATTTAAGCTATCTCTCTTGTGCGTACGTTTCTCCTCTTTGATTTGTAAACAATTCAATACATCATGAGGAGAACTTCTTGGTCAACTCATCTAGTGTCTTCATTAGCAAGGCTCTGTCTTCCTTGGAGGACTTGCTCCAAGCCAGAGGGAGATGGGTGTTCACTGCCTTACGATCTGAAACAAATACCACAACATAAACACACTACTACTGGCTTCTTGTCTTGATAATAAGGACACTACTTCCATAACTCTAGAGTATGAAAGAAATTAAATTTAATGAAACTTATTCGACCTTCAATATTTTTTTCAAATTTTCTTCAAAAGGTACCATATCTATTACTTGGAAGATCCCACTTGTTTTCACCTACCTTGGAAGAAGGCCCCGCTTGTTTGCTGTAAAGCAGCTTTGGATATTGCCAGCCATGTGATGGTGTCGGCACCCTCCTCCACTGTCCGCAGCTTGCCCTCCATCTTGGCGCGGAACTCTGGCATAGCTGACTGGACCGCTGGAATGGTACAAGTTTGTGAATTTAGTCAATAAAAACACACCCGGACAATACACGCTGTAGTACCCTAGCCTTTACACACTGTTAAAACAACAGTCAAATTTTGTTGCAATACAAATGTAGGTATTTTTTTCACATCAATAACTAATAATAGTAATGATATGTATTTTACTAAATATGCTAGACATTTTGCTTAATACTAAAGTGTAACGTTTTAAAAGGTGTTATTAACAACTGAAATAAGTCGCCTTAAAGATATATATGATGTACATATCAATCCAAATTTTTCTCCAAGTTCTAATTTAGTCTTTTTTGTGATCAAAATGCAATTAAATCCCACCTTCTTCAATGTCTGGGAAAGAGATTTCTGGCCTTACATTTCTCACATATTATGTTATCAGACATAAATAAATACATGCACACACACATACACATGTGCACTAATACCTGGAGTGTCTGCCCAGCCAGGATGCATGCTGGAGAACTGAATGTTGGGATATATCTTGGCATACTCCTCTGTCATGATCACCTGCTGTCGTTTGTTCTGGGCATAGGCCATAGTACCGTCAAATGGCCTCATGTGCTCAAAGCTGAGATCTTTGGGGTCAAGTTTTTGTACGTACATCCCTCCAGATGACACCGTTATCTGTGATAAAAATAAGAGATAAAATTAAATCATTATTATTATTATACAGATATTTTCTTGAAGAATAAAATGAGCCAGATGTAGAAAGAAGCCATATGAAAGAGTACAATTAGTAAATTAAAAGACTCAATTCAGTTACCTGTACCTGCAGGACTTTGCAAGTACTTTTCATTTAGTTTCCATTTCAAACAGGCTTTTTTTTTCTCAAAAAGAGGTTTTGATTCAGCCTTCATTTTCCCTTCATTTACCCAACATGGTATCATAATACATGTACTCATGCTTTCAAGATGTAGGAGTAAATGAAAAGTTGTTTAAAACTTACCACTCTTGGTTTTTCTCCTGTCTGTCTTGAGAGGAGTGGAATCAGACCAACTGTTAAAATGTGTGTCCCTAAAAAAGTAATAGTTAAAAGTACGTTCCATATATACATGTATCTGTGTTATATGCTGTCACCAGGATCTATGTGTGTTAAGAGTCCAAATTTCCACTTTAAAAACTTGTAAATAATAAAAAGACGCTTTCATATTGACAATAGATAGCAGTAAGACAATTGTACATGTGAAATGAGAAAAATGAAAATCACTCGCACAAAGGCAGACAATAATATTTTAAGTTTTGATCTTTCCCAGTCTGCCCCTAGCCAGTCAACTATTTACCTAGTGTGTTTGTTGCAAAATTACTCTCCAGACCATCTGCATCTAATGTCCTCTCATGGATCATACAGCCTGCATTGTTCACCTGGAGTCCACAATAACATTCAATTATCACTTCAAACACACAATTTTGTACTTCATTTATACACTGAGCAAAAGTAATAAGGCCCCATGCAATATTTAAAATTCCTATCAACATTTTGGATTATATATACACTAGTATATATGTATATATATATACAAACTTCAAAGTGAATTCTGTTGTACACTGGCTACAGACTACTAGTACTGTCCTTGGCTACAGACTACTGTCCTTGGCTACAGATTACTGTCTGCACCACATTACATGTCACAAAAATAATTCACACAAGTTTATATTTTTGCTCAATATGTATGAACTTAATTGTCAAATGCCAAATCTTTAAAATATGTTTTTAAAAATATGTGTTTCCCAAGAAAATTGATAAATATGACCATTAAGTTAAATAAGAAATGCAATATCATATTGATTCCAGGGCTCTAGCCCTGTAAGTGTCTGATACATTGTGGCTGGAGGAAAAGAAAACAATTGTTTTCAGTTGTGGTCATGACATGAAAGAAATAAATTGTGTATGGCATGGTCAATACTTTTAAGACATCTACTTCAATTTAAATTGTTACAAATAATCATCTCATTAAAAATTACTTATTCAGTAAATATAGTATTTAAAATAATATATGAATCTTTTAAAGACAAAGCCTTTGCATTAAAATGAAATGGTAAAATGTAAGTAAAACTTTTTTCATACTAAAACATTAAGCTGTTGTCCCGAAGCCTGGAATTCCTTGGCAAATGCAAACACTTTCCTAGGTTGTGACATATCTAAGATGTGAACATGGACATTCTGGTTTCCAGAGGCTGCTATGATCTCCTGCTTGGCTTGTTCTGCTCTCTCCTCATTCCTGCAAACCATGTGCACTGTGCCACCTAGGAAGATTTCATTAAAGTTAATATGCTTCAAGTTATAGTCATTTACACATATTATACTAGTTAAATGTAATTAAACAGACTGACACCATATATAATTATAAGTTATTTCATACTGATTATGTAAAATCTGTAAACCCCACGGTATGTGTATTTGTTAAATGAAATAGAGTAGCTAAAGGATGAGATTATATCAAATATAAATTATTAAAAGGCAACATCCCTTAGCAGATACCATAAATATGCCCACAAATATGAAATACAATATCAATTTTAATATAAGGATTAAGTGCACATTCAATTAATCATTCACAATCAAATTAAATTGGTGTAGTTGTTAAGACAGCTAGCTAATGGTACCTGAACAGACATGCTGAAAACTTTTCAGAATGGCCGAAATTTGGACCAGCAGTAATGAAAAATTTGCCGGACCAAATGGATTTTTGTCGGACTGAAAATCACTATTCGTTTGAGACAGATACTACCAGTACGATTAGGTAGCTTACTTTGTTTGTGAATGTGAAATGGAGGGGAAAAATGCTTTGGGTTTTATATAATTTTATTAGTGAAGTATGTTGAATGATGACTGTAAATTCAAAATTGTAGTTCTTAAAACTCTTGTCGGTCCTTTGGACCGACCAAGTCCAATTTTTTACTGGTCCAGACAAATTTTCCCAGTCATGACCTATCGGACGGACAGTTTCAGCATGTCTGCATGAACCTTTTTGCATAATTTTGTGTTATAATTCCCTCTTTTCTATATATCAAAGTTTATAATCAAAATAATATTTCTTTTTGATATCTCTATGTGAGCTCTCTCTAATCTGAGCAGCACACTTGCCCAGGCTGCTGTTGGCCCCTGTGTCTATGTTAGCGAAATAATTACCTCTCTTGGCCATGTCCAGAGCAGCACACTTGCCCAGGCTGCTGTTGGCCCCTGTGTCTATGTTAGCGAAATAATTACCTCTCTTGGCTATGTCCAGAGCAGCACACTTGCCCAGGCCGCTGTTGGCCCCTGTGTCTATGTTAATGAAATAATTACCTCTCTTGGCTATGTCCAAAGCAGCACACTTGCCCAGGCCGCTGTTGGCTCCTGTGATCATGAAGCTCTGACCTGTGACATCCACATCAAGGTCAGATGGAGAGAAGGACTTCGCTGCTGCCTCATAGCCCTGTCTATGAATGATATGGATAACATCCAGATATTCAAATTTAATATATCATAATAATGATATTAGATATCGTTATAACATGTTCAAAACAATTTACATGCCTTGTGCTATTTATCTATTCGTAAGTATTAAACCCTTCACTATTTCAAAATTTTAATTTTTTATTAAAATAAAAGGCAAAAATGCAATTGATGATTAAAAAATTCAGAAGTAAGGCATGTTACATACATGTACATTGTATAACATTTATCAGTGTAAAAAAATCCTTATTTTTAAGGCCTTTCAAAAAATTCAGCACTTCCTTCCACCCCAGTGCCACCAACCCCCCAAAAAATTTTACTAACTAATATTATAATAAAATAATAAAACCGCAGTTCTCTTTAAATTTCAAATGGTGTTCTTAGAAACCAAGGAAAAGTTCACACAAACAACCAGTAACTGCAAGCACATTTGTACAGTGTACCAAAACAAAAATATTTTCCTGAATGAAACTACATGTAGCACAAGGTTTCCTGCATTAGTCCTCCTATGTGTGTGGTATCTGGTATGTACCATATGGTTTCAAGATGACATATCTGGTAGACAAACAGGTTAATCTTACCTTACACACCACATGATGACAAAACTTTTTCTTTTTTCTGCAGTGAATGTATTGAAATAGGTCAGATGTAAGCAAAAGATCTGACAGCTTTCGACACATGTGCACCAGTTAGTCTGTGTGCAGGCTGCCAGTATATGCAATTACAGTTGCAGGAGTATTTCTTTCATTTGTTAAAACAATTAGCAAATATCAAGAAGGGTACCTAGGAGTGCTAATATAAGAGTATATATACTTTGCACTAAAATAAAACCTACTTAGTGAATTCTTTCAATCCCTTGGCATACCAGACCACTTTTCTGTACAGTGACATTTTTCATCTATGGTACTGTATTATACAGTGTATCAACAGATCAGCTTCTGCAAATAAATAATGATTAATGTTAGAAATAATAACTTACAAAGTACTGGTTGTACACGGCAACAGCTAGAGAGAGAGAGAGAGAGAGAGAGAGAGAGAG